ACAACCTTGATGTTCTGACAATTCCAAAACACATTGGTTACACAACAGAACCCAATGATTACAAAGTGATAATTCACCGATTACAAAAATGATTAGTCAAAACAAAACCATCCCATCGGCATTACCACCACTACCATCCCTCACTGGATCACTAAAGTTGGTCATCCTCAGACCCAAGATATCCTATGAGCTTACAAGCCACGGACAAGAACTACTGATGTGCCCTAACCGGCCACACTTGGAACAACTGCGAACTTCCCCAAGTAGGACTTGGGAACTTGACTCTCCTGAGGCCCTCGAAGTCTGGCCTGATTGTTCTCCAAAATGATACTGCCCCTATCCAGTCGAATAAGGCTAGACCTGACTAGGTTGTAAAACCCCCAAAGAAGCCCCCTGCTGGGTACAGAAACGTTTGAGATGACCCGGCCGATTACACACCCAACAAATAAGCAGCTCCCTAGCACGAGACTGGTTCAAAGTCTGAGCTGATGGAGACCCCAACGACTGCTTCCCCACTGAACATCCGATCAGCCCAAAACCTGGCTGGCTAGATGATTCTGGTGAACTGCCAACCCAGCCCTCTTCCTCTGTGGGCAAGCTGGGGACTTGTGGCCTAGCTGACCACATTTGAAACAAGTGACAACCTTTCGTTCACCCTTTCCCGAATCTAAACTCGACGCTGGAAAAGTAGAGCCAAGCTGAGCTCTCTGAAATTGTTGTGGATTAAAACCCTTCTGCCTCTTAAAAGGCCTACCAACACTCTGAATCACAGGAGTCGCTGAAATGGCCTCCTCCCTATTTTGCCCCACAGCTAGCACCGCTGCCTCCACATGAGTCGCAGCCCTAACAAGTACACTGCAACTCCTATGCCAAGACCCCGCAATCTTTTCACGGATGTTGTCACACAACCTACTCTCAAATTCTGAACAATGCAATTCCTCCGTCTCCACCAATTCTGGAGCAAACCTCGACAGGTTAGCAAACCATGCTTCAAACCGCACCAATGGTGTAGTACCTTGGCGTAACTCCACAAACTATTTCCGTAACTCTTCCCGAGCGGAAGGAGGGAAATCACAACTCCCTCGTCTAGGCATCCTAGTAAGAGTAACACAGGTATTAGCACAACAACAAGGGTGCCAAAACTATCTCACTAGCGTCCTAACACGATAGACGGCTGTAATTCATTCCATGTAAGCACATAAACACATAAGCACTTACGAATTTCATTTCTGGATAATGATAGTTTCGAGGCGTCACTAGAGTTCCTGTTAGAAACAGCATTGATCAAGTGTTTTCTAGCAAGACTCACAGAAACCCAAGGATCTAATCAACATCCCGGAAACTAAATCCCATACCCAAGTAGTCACATAAACATGTTATCACATAAGCACATAACATTACATCTAAGTCTCTAACAAGCGAGACAAACCCATTGTGATACTAATCACTTCTCACGTACCCAAAGTATTCGAACCCGGTACGCTTTGATACCAAGTTGTAACGCCCTCAAAATAAACCCATAATATCAAATAGTCAAGTTACAGGAAAGAGATATTATATTACAATCATCAGAGTATCCTTACAAAATGTATTACACGTTGACAACAAAAGTAACTGCCCTATAGGCTTACAACTTTCCAAGTCAACACTAGGTTACAAAAAGAGAGTACTAACTCAAATACATATTAAGTCCTTGGCTTGAATTTACATGAAATACATCCAAAGAAATCAAAACAACAAAATAGTCTGTCTGTCTGTAGCATCCCAAGCTATGTTTTTGCAGGTGGCATACCATCGGTACCTGAAAATGAAGTCTCATATAGGGTGAGCCACAACCCAGTAGAAATACACTAAACTAACTATAAACAATGACTAAAACAATAGCATTAGATGGATGGTCCACACTTATATTCCAACGTATACCATGTTACTGTTTCATGACAATCATGTCCATATTACTATTCATTTTCCATTTCTTAACCAACTCTAAGTTTGAAAACAAGGCTCAGAGTATGGCCACATAATTTAATGAGATGATAACTCATCACTAAAATACTTTCGAAATTCATAATGGATACACTTTTTGGTGCTGTATCAAAGTTAACAAAAACATTTCCATGCTTCACAAATGATACTGATATACATTTTAGTGCTATATCAAATCAAACAAACACTTTCATACTTCACAAATGATACTGATATACATTTTAGTGCTATATCAAATCAAACAAACACTTCCATACTTTACAAATGATACACATTTTAGTACTGTATCAATCTCAAACAAAATCCGATTTAGAGGTCCATCCCCCATCTTCCAATAAACCGTGGAGTACATCCCCCATCTCCTCCCACACAATACAATGTATATAAGCAATTATCATATACAAATTTAATCAATCATGACAAATGATACACATGGTAGTGCTATATCAATGTCAAACAAAACACTTCTATAATTCACAAATGATACACATGGTAGTGCTGTATCAATGTCAAACAATATCCAGTTTAGAGGTCCATCCCCCATCTTCCAATAAACCGTAGAGTACATCCCATATCTCCTCCCACACAATACAATGTCTATAAGCAATTATCATATACAAGTTCAATCAATCAATACAAAATTTTGATGTATTATACCAACCACCATACTCGATAGCATACTCAATTGATTAGTTTTAATTTGCCTAATCATCATGCATTGTCTACAACAATCAAGACTATCCTCCACCGATAGCCCAAAGCAGTTATTTCTAAACAGAAAATAAATGCACCGACTGGATAAAATATCAACATTTTGTCTAGGTGAGCGATAAATTAATCCAACTACACCCTTTAATCCCATACCTTTCCAATTTCAATATTTCCTATTCAATTTCTCATTTCCCTAAATTAATTTACAATTAGTGCTTCTCCCCATATTCTCAATATCAACCCTAAGGTTCCATTTTCATCAATGATCCACATACAATTCCATCTTCCAACATATTCCATTCATATGGGTTTTAAACTTGAAAACCCTTCTTTTGAAAATTACACAAGGACCCCAAACTTTCTCAAAATTGCCGGACAACCCCCAACATATCAAAATGCCAAAATTTAAAGACGAAGCTCATAAGATGGAGTAAGATATCCCTACCTCGAAGTTGGAGTTCAAATGGAGAAGAAGACCAAACTCAAAGTGCTCCAAACTCCAAACTTTTCGGATCAAAACGTAGCCCTCGACGATCAACACACTTTTTGTAAAGGCTAAAGGATAGGAGAACACTCCAACTAGATCAATCCTAAGAGAGAAGGGAGAAAGTAATGAGAGAAGCTCTCAACAATGGCTTTTCGAAAAAGTAAGAGAAAGAGTGGAAGTTGAAAAGTGATTCAAAATAGCCTAGCTGTCACCTGATACACGACACCCCCGCTCGAGCGGAGAATAGGACGCTTGAGCGTCAAGCACAAAAACTGGACCCGCTCGAGCGCAAGAAGGCCCGCTTGACCTCCAAGACACAAAAACAAAACATATCCGCTCGAGTGCGAAACCCAGCTCTCTCGAGCGTAGATTCTCCTCTCCCAGTATTTTCATAGACAATGAACACCCTGCTCGAGTGCCAATAGACCCGTTCGAGCGCAACCTGCTCAAGCGTAAGGAAACCTGCTCGAGCGTCAAAAACACATCTGCAGAAGTTTTGCAGAGGCATAGATACTAGAAGTGGAAAAACTCGGCTCGAGCGTGAAATGGTCCGCTCGAGCGGACAACCAAAATTCCAACTATGCTCGAGCGTACCACCAAAACTCTGGGCAACCAGGAAAGGGACTAAGGCTCAATCAACCTGTTCGAAACACGCCCAACACATCCTAAAACTCAGGCATATGGAATTAAAGGATGACAACAAGACATACAACCGCCAACTCCACGGAACCTAAGTCCGAAACACTGTACATAAAGGGGACAAACCTGGGATCGCTATACTTTCTGTTGTGAGTTATTAACATATGTATGTATGGAATGTTATGATGTGCATATAAGCACGGCTCTATGGACAAAGTCTTAAATTTGCTTTCGATTTGGCCCCTTTACTCTGATGAGTTTTGTCTTATTTGGTTTGAGGCCGTAGGTAATCTCATGATTACTGGCCGGTTATGGCCTTAACCCATAGGGACGGGTTCGGGTCGTGACACTCTGAGTCTGTATTCTCCTCTTCTTAATCTCTCTCTGTCTTCTAAAAAAAAAAAAAATGTTCTCTTAAATTTATTTTAAATTCATTATTATATTTTCCCATTTTTCGGGTTTGTGATTCACTCTGGATGTGTTTGTGAGGGTTTCGTCGCGACGTCATTATGGCCGAATTAACCAGTGAGTCTACTACTTCGCAGCCTGCTACACAGGGCGCGAGTCCTGTTTTGACTACTTCGATGACCGATTCTCTCCACTCTGCCTAGAAAATCACCACCTCTCTCTTTAATGGTCAGAACTATCTAGCATGGTCACAGAGTTTGACTATATTTTTGAAGAGCAAAGGGAAGATGAGATATGTTGATGGGCGTGTTCAGGCTCCCAGTATCAGTGATACAAGTTTTGATCAGTGGGAGATTACCAATTCTCTTATCATGGGTTGGTTGATACACTCTATGGTTCCGGAGATCGGTAAGGGATACTTGTCTATAGACACAGCACAAGATATTTGGGAGGCTGTGACCACTACGTATTCCCGCAAAGATAATTTCTCACAGACTTTTTAGTTGCGACGCTCTATTGACCGGTCTTTTAAGGGTGAGATGACTATTCTCCAGTATTTTACTTTCCTTAGCAATTGGTGAAAGTGACTTGATCATCTTTAGGACTACATGCCTGTTTGTCCCACAGATTCTGTTGGTTACCAGAAATTTGTTGAACAAGTGCGGGTCTTCAAGTTTTTGGAAGGTTTGAATGTGGAGGTTGATCCTGTTTGGAGTTGTGTGCTTAGTATGGATGCTCTTCCTTTCAAGAAGCGTTTGCTTATGTTCAGAATGAAGAGAGTCCTCGTTCTGCTATGCTTCCGACTGCCTCTTCTGATCGATCTGCCCTAGTTTCTGCCCCCTCTCGAGATGGGGATCGTGGTTCTCATCCTCCTTCTGAGAAGGATACTCTCTTCTGTGATTTTTGTCGTCGCCCTTGCCACACCCGTGAGACTTGTTGGAAGTTGCATGGGCAACCATCTGGAGGTCGTGGAGACCATTTTGGTTCTCGAGGGGGTCGCTCTAGACAGTCTCGAGGCCATGGGCCCAATACCCGAGCCCATCATTCTGATATAGTTAAGCCACAGTCCACAGCTCCAGTTGATTCATCTGCTGATATCTCGGGATTTTCTACTTCTGAGTTGGAGGTTGCTCTTCGCCACTTGCTAGACCGTCGGGCCTCTAGTTCATCTTCAGGTAATATTGCCCAGTCAGATAACTTAGCTTCTTCTACAAGTGCTTTCCTCTCTCATCAAACGTTACCTTGGATTATCGATTCTGGTGCTTCCAACCACATGTCTGGTTCTTCTGATTTGTTCTCCGTGTATACCCCTTCTTCAAGGCAGGATAAAGTTCAAATTGCTGATGGTACCATTTCTCTTGTGCCTGGGAAAGGTTTGATTCATGCCACTACTTCTCTTCTTTTATCTTATGTCCTACATGTTCCCAATTTTAGTGTTAATCTTTTGTCTTTGAGTCGTATTACTCGGGACTTAAATTGTAGTGTGACCTTTTTCCTTGACCATTGCCTGTTTCAGGACCTTATCACGAGGAAGATGATTGGCAGTGGTAGACACGAGAATGGTCTCTATATCTTGGATCAAGCAGACAAGCTGGCTCACTCATCCATTCAGTTTCCATCTACCAAGGAAGACATCTGGCTGTGGCACCGCCGTCTTGGGCATCTATCTTTTTTGTTACTTAAGCATCTTTTTCCCTCTATTTTTTTGAAAAATAACGTTTTTGAGTTTCATTGTGAGTCGTGTCAACTTGGCATACAACACAGAGTTTCTTTTTCTCCTTCTATTAATAAAAGTTTAGTTCCTTTTTCTTTGATTCATTCTGATGTATTGGGTCCCTCTCGTTTTGTGTCTTTAAAGGGTCAAAGATGGTTTGTCACCTTTATTGATGATTGTTCTAGGACCACCTGAGTGTATCTTATGAAGGACAAATGTGAGGTATTTTTTGTGTTTCAAAATTTTCATAAAATGCTTTGCACTCAATTTGGGGCAGTTGTCAAAATTTTGCGTTCTGATAATAGAGGGGAATACATTGATTCTGGACTTGCTAGCTATTTTGCAACTCATGGTATATTCATAAAACTTCTTGTACCAATACCCCTCAACAGAATGGTGTTGCCGAGTGTAAAAACCGGCATCTTCTTGATATTACGCGTTGTTTATCCTTTGAAATACGCGCTCCTCGATCCTATTGGGGGGAAGCGGTTCTCATTGTTGCGTTCCTCATCAATCGGCTTCCTACCCAGGTTCTTCATAAACAAACTCCTCATCAGATTTTGTTCGGCTTCTAAGCTTCTACTGCCTTCTGCATTCCTCCCAAAACCTTTGGGTGTGTATGCTTTGTTCATAACCATTCTCCTACCCGTAGTAAGTTGGATCCTCGGTCTCTTCGGTGTGTCTTCTTGGGTTACTCCGACACTCAAAAGGGCTACAAGTGTTATCATCTCCCCTCTCGCAAATGGTTTATCTCTATGGATGTGTCTTTCTTTGAATCTCAGTCTTATTTTCTCTCCTCCCCGGTGTCCCCGTCATCTTTTCAGGGGAAGCCTTGGTGTGAAGAGACTCCTGTATCACTACCATCACCATCAGTTATTGCGACTCCTGAGACTATTATTACTGATGATCCAACTATTGAGAATGCTGACTTTCCATCTGCAGTGAAAGACGGCAAAGTGTATGTCAGGGACAAGGGTAGATAGAAAGTTACTTAGGTACAAGAGACCAATTCGGATTCTCCACTGCCGTCTTCTTCTTTTGATGAGTGTCCAGAATCCTCTCCTTCTGGTGAACCTCCAGGTAACTTAATTCTTTCTGATCTAGATGTTTCCATTGCTAAAAGGAAGGGGGTTAGGTCGTGTACTCAACATCCTATTTCTCATTGTCTCCTACACTAATCTGTCTTCTTCCTATAAAGCTTTTTTGTCTAAAGTTTCTTCTGTGAGTCTTCCTTCCAATTTTCAGGATGCTCTTTCTACTCCTGAGTGGAAGCATGCCATGATGGAGGAGATGAGTGCGCTTGCTAAAAATGGCACTTGGGAAGTGGCTGTGTTATCTAAGGGCAAACGACCTGTTGGATGTAAGTGGGTGTACACTATAAAGCACAAAGCCGATGGTTCAATTGAACGTTACAAGGCTAGATTGGTGGTCAAGGGTTTTACTCAGACTTATGGAGTAGACTACCAGGAGACATTTGCACCGGTTGCTAAGATGAATTCTGTCAGAGTCCTTCTCTCCCTTGCATCTAATCTTGACTGGCCTCTCCATCAATTTGATGTGAAAATGCTTTCCTCCATGGAGATCTGGCAGAAGAAGTGTACATGGACATTCCCCTTGGCTTTGAGGATGTTAAAACCACAAGAAAGGTGTGCCGATTACGCAAGTCACTTTATGGCCTTAAGTAGTCTCCTTGGGCTTGGTTTGAGAGGTTTACTCAGGCCATGCAGAGATATGGTCTCAAACAAAGTCAAGCTGATCATACTTTGTTTGTGAAACACTCCTCACATGGTAAAACGATAACCCTCATTGTCCATGTGGATGATATTGTACTCACAGGGGATGATGTTGAGGAGGTTCCTTGGTTAAAGGAGTATTTGGCTAATGAGTTTGAAATCAAAGACTTAGGCAACTTGAAGTACTTTCTAGGCATTGAGGTTGCTCGGTCCAAAGATGGTATCTTCATATGTCAACGAAAGTATGTGCTTGATTTGCTAAAAGAAACTGGAATGCTTGGAAATAAAGCATGTGATACATCACTAGAACACGGACTAAAGCTTAGTGAGGATGAAGGAGGCGAGCCTGTAGACAGGGGGAGATACCAGAGATTAGTGGGTAAGCTTATTTACTTATCCCATTCACGGCCTGATATTGCTATTGCAGTGAGTATGGTTAGTCAGTTTATGCATGCTCCACGTGCAACTCACTTAGAGGCGGTTATGCGGATTCTGAGATACTTGAAATCTTCCCTAGGAAGGGGTCTTTATTTCTTAAAGCATAGTCATCTCAGTGTGAAGGCACATACAAATGCTAATTGGGTTGGCTCAGTAACTTATAGAAGATCCACCTCTGGCTATTGTACCTTCGTTGGCGGAAATCTAGTTACTTGGAGAAGCAAGAAACAAAATATTATTGCGCGGTCTAGTGCAGAGGCCGAATTCAGAGCTATGGCTCAAGGTATGTGTGAGCTTTTATGGATTACATTATTATTGCGGGATTTGGGGATTCATCAGACAGATTCTATGAGGCTATATTGCGACAATAAGGCCGCCATTAATATAGCCCACAATCCGGTTTAGTATGATCGGACCAAGCATATGGAGATTGATCGGCATTTTATCAAGGAAAAACTTATTAGTGGCACTATATGTATGCCTTTCGTGCGGTCTGGGGATCAATTGGCTGATGTTCTTACCAAAGGATTAGAGATTAAACCGTTCCGTGACATTCTCGACAAGCTGGGCTTGAGAGATATCTTCACACCAGCTTGAGGGGGAGTGTTAGAATGTGCTAGGATATTTCCCATTTTTATTCTCATTCAGTCTCTTTATTTGCTGTAATGGGCCTTTATTTAGGCCTTAACTCCGTTTGGTGTAGCTGTTAAAACAACTTATAGATTATAACTTAACAGATTATAGATTATGACTTTAATCAGAAGTTGTTAATCTGTTTGGTGTAACTGTTGGATTATAGATTTAAGTTGCTGAGTAGTGCTTGTTAAATAAGCTGTGAAATAGCTTTTTCAATTAATTTTTATTTTTTGTTTCTCTACATTTCTCATAAAAAATAATAATAATAATCTACAGTCCATTTGGGTCTTTTTCTATTTTAAAAAAAATAAAAAATAACAAAATTTAAGAGTATAACCATAAATTAACATGTCCACAGCAGAAGTTGATAATCAGAAGTAAGGGGTGAGCAGCTTCTCAGAATCAGCTTTTTTAAATTAAAATAAGCTGTTAGAATCAGAAGCTGTTTGAAATAAGTTTAACCAAACAGTCCAAAATAACTTTTTCAAAGTTAAAAGCCATAAGTTAGCTCTGAAAAGCTGAAAAAAACACCCCCTTAATATAAACGGGTATGATTAACCACTCATACCCTAATCTTTTTCTCTTCTAAAATTAACACATTATGCTTTGTAGTTTTTTGTCATAAATAGAGGGATAAAGGTTTATCATGGTGAAAAATAAGGTTATTCTGAACTAAGCTTTGAACCATCCATTAGTTAATTCCAGACTTATGCCATGAATCCAGCCATGTAGGACCAAAATTAAATATTATTGAAGTGCACTTTCAACTTTCCACTTTCCATTTCTAACAGGCAACATGAATATAGTTAAGTAGGTTTCTTGAAAATTATACAAGTATTAAAGCAAATCTTCCAATATTTTCTGCAATACGCTTATATATCAAAAAATTGAGTGATGTGGCCATAATGGTTGATCCTCCCACACATAATTTCTCAGGTGTAGCTTTTGCAGTTCAAATATAGGCAAAATGTACGACAAATCTTATTTGTCTTTTCATCAATCTACTAAATTTAAATTAAAAAAAAAAAGGAGAGAGAGATGAAGAATCTAAAACTAGGCCCTCCATTACTCACTCAAAATATCGCAAGATCAAATAATAACTCCCTTTCAAATTATGGATTGAAAACAATGCAGTTATAATTGCCTACAAAACAGAATATACGTTTGTTGCATATACCCACTCCTTTCAAAACAGAGCATCAAACATAGGCAAATCTTATGATGCGTTTGGCAACCAGTGTATGACTGCGACGTTGGGAACCAATTAACATAAAAATTTGAAAAAACTCAGAGCTACACTTAGCACAATTTTTGGGTGGTACTTAAGTATCTACATCAAGTATCATTACATGAAATTTTTTTAGATATTCTTTCAAATCTTGTTTACAAGCAAATCACTTTTGACATATAAAAAAAGAGTAAACCTGGATCTAAAAACTAGATCCAAAATTTTAAGTTTGATTTCAGCTTTTGATCCATAAGACTTGTTACTTTTTATGCCAATATTTTAAGTTTGATTTCAGAAAAAATAAGTAGAAACATGCCGTATGGCATAGTTTAACAAAATAAATGATGGTTTAGACTTCTAGTCTGTGATGAAGGATGGATACTGATAAGGAAACAGATGAAGGATACAACACAATCCAAATACTAAAATAAGACAAAACCTAAAATAAAAATAAAAAATAATAATATATATATAAGTACAGCCAATTAATGTTAAAGAGGCAAAAAAAAAATAGACGCAAAAAGTCATATTTCTAGTAGTGTAATCAATAGACAAATCTTACAGAAAAAGATGTGAGGTTCCACTTGAGATACCCATATTCATCAATGAATAAAAAGATCAATGGCGAGGAACAAACACACAAAGATTTAGATTTTCAGATAAGTTAGGATTAAAGATTGTAACCGTTACAATGGTTAGTTCAATCCCCAGCCCCAGTTTTTATCTTGGAAATAATGACCATTCATAGTATTGGGCCAAACCATCAATGTAGGGGACCTCAAAGCATGGACAATTGTATAGTAAAATTTTCATGATTTGTTTGATGAGAGAGGCCTACAAAATATTGTGGGACCGGTGATGGGTGTGTGTGTGTGTGTGTGTGTGTGTGTGTGTGTGTAGGAGGAATGGGGTAGAGAGGATTAGGACCTGTACTTCCTACCTGCCATCTAAGAGTTTTTAAACTTAAGATTGGATTTAAGAGGTTCGATGCCTACAATCAATAC